CTCTAACATCATGGCTCTCCTGCCAGGGGGCGCCTGACCCTCCTAACAGCCTAGCCTGCTGGTTGCCGCTTCAGTCCTCACCAAGGAGACCCTACCAGCCGCCAGGCTCTGCACTAATTCTTCCACTTCTCTTGCAGCCCCATTACTTGCTCAAATCATCTCAGAAGTAGCATGATCTTTGGACAAGAGAGAGGTGGATTCAAATCGACTACAAGCTGTGTGGTCTTGGGCAGGAAGGAGACTCAACCTCTCTGAGTCTTGGTTTCTTTCCCTATACATAGAACCATCATCCTGCCCTTGTGGAGCTAAGAGAATGGGAGAGCCCCCAGAAGGCTGCCTAGATCTCACCTGCTTATGTCTGCTCTTGTCTATCCAGGCCCAGCCTCACCTCTGATGACTGCCCTGATTCCTAGGGAAAATCACCCTTTCCCAAACTCAATCCAAGGGATGTATGCAAAGTTATTAGGTAGAAGTAGGGCCTTAGCTTAGGTCTGCCAGTCTTGGGAACTAGTTCAAGGTAGGAAACCATAGCGAGTTTCCTCCCTCTGGGCACTTTAATTTTGTTTTGCTTGGTTTCTGGATTTTTGGAGACAGGTTCTCAATCTGTAGCCCAGGCTAGCCTCAAACTCATGATTCTCTTGCTTCAGCCTCCTGAGTGCTGGGGTTACAGACCACTACCACTATCCCCACCCCCTCTAGACAAGAGCTGTTGGTGACCATCTACAAAAGACAAGCCAGGGGCCAGCAAGATGGCTCAGCAGGTAAAGGAGCCTGCCACCAAGCCTGACAGACTGTGTTCAATCCCCTAGACCCACACAATGGAAGGAAAGAACCAACTCCATCAGTTATCCTGACTTACACACACATATACATCATGGCAAGCAATAAATAAATGACAAGTCAGCTAGGGGTAGAAGGGAATCCAGCTGAGAACTGAAGAGAATTGGCTAAGGTGAGCACCTGGATCTAGCCCAGCCTGACATTTTCACCCAAACGAATCAAGAAGTCCTCCTTTGTGCTTACTCCAGCTAACAGGGTTTCTGTCACAATCAAGAGTCCTCAAGCTGGAGAGATGTTCAGCAGTTAAGAGTACTGACTCTTCTTGCAGAGGACCAGGGTTCGGTTTCCAGCATCCATAAGGTGGCTAACAACCACTGTCTCAAGAGGTAGACCGCTTCTTGAGGATGACATTTGAGGTTGTTCTCTGGTCTCCACACATGCACACAGATGAAGATACACACACACACACACACACACACACACACACACACACTTTAAAAACAGTACCTAGGGGGCTGGAGAGATGGCTCAGCAGTTAAGAGCACTGACTGCTCTTGCAGAGGACCCAGATTTGATTCCCAGCACCCACACGGCGGCTACGAAGCGTCCTTAACTCCAGTTCCAGGGGAATCCAAAGCCCTCTTCTGACCTCCGCAGCATTGCATGACACGGGTGCACTCACATACATGCAGACAATACACTCATACACATAAAATAAAAATAATAAAGCCGGGCGTTGTGGTGCACACCTTTAATCCCAGCACTCGGGAGGCACAGGCAGGTGGATCTCTGTGAGTTCAAGGCCAGCCTGGTCTACATATTGAGTTCCAGGACAGCTGGAGCTACAGGGGGACCCTGTCTCACAAAGACCAAAATAATAATCATAATCATAATCATAATCATAATAATAAATAAAATATTTTAAAAATAAATAAATAAATAATACCTAGGTTGGTTACTGCTACACCTTTCTCCTGGGTCACCCACTCTATCCTAGCCCAGGCCTACCTTCAGAGATCACTAAAACAGGATGTCTAGCTCACCAAGGTAATGACTGAGGTGGCTCTTGCCATGATTCAGACACCCTCAAGAACCCTCCAGAAAACAGAGGAGCCACTCACCCTCTGGAGTTCCTGGTGGGGCAAGTTCAGCCCCTGACACCCACTGATGGCAGCCGAGGTGGTAGAAGAAGATGCCATCTTCATAGCACTTTTCCTCTTGGTAATGGGTGTGCACATTGCCCCCTAGGGAAGGAGGAAAAGGGCACAGCTGGCAAGTCTGGGGGATGGGAGACACACCCATGCTGGGAGCCTCAGCACAGGGTGGGCTCAGGCCCTGGCAGACAAGCAGGATCAGGAGTCTCCTCACCGTAAATCACCATGTAGTTGCCCAGGACACTGGCTGTGTGGAAGGCTCTCTCCCGTGGGCCCTGAAGGCCATCCCGGCCCTTCAGGGTAGTCCACACACGTCGATCCACATGGAAGAGCTCAGTGGAGTTCACTCGCACAGAAAACCTACAGGAAAAGACAAGGCAGGAGCTCAGCGAAGGAAGGGCTTCCTTCCCTCCTCTGGTCTCTTAGGAGCTATGACACCACTGAGGGTTGAGACTGACCATGCCCAGGTCTATGTCCCCTCCTAACTAAGACATTCACCATGAGCAGGACCCAGGTCTGACCCACATCTGGTGCCTTGCATAATCTGACAAGAGCTGGATGAATGTATGAATGGGTAGAAGTGTGTGGGGAGATGACTGGTCAAGAGAATCAGTAAGGGACCAGAGAACAAATGAATGAGAAAGGAAGAAGTGAGGGAATGGACTACAGGTATCTGTTGGTGAGCAAAGACCTCTAACGACTAAGGTTCCCAGAGTATAGGGACTGGTCTGGCCCTGGGGGATAGAGGTTAGGGATGTGGGGCGGGTCACTCACCGGGCAGTGGAAGGCCGGTGTCCACCGTGGACCAGGAGGGTACGGGAGGGGGCATGGAATACCAATGAGTGCCCAGTGGCAGCAGGGGGCCGCCCACCTGCTGGGATCACCTGTTCCCAGTAGCCCCTGCTGGTGCGGTCCAGGCGAAAACGGAAGAGGCCAGAGGAGAAGAGGTCATGCTGAGTGCGGCCACCAGACACATAGAGCCAGATGTCATCCACCAGGGTAGCTGCATGGCCTGCCAGGCCTGGGGGCCCAGACGAGCTGGAGGCAGGTGGTGCTAGGAGCTCCCAGTGGCCCCCGCCCAGTGGGCTAAAGGCCCACACATCATTGGTGAGCAAGCCATTGGCCAGTTCGCCACCCATCAGCACCAGGAAGCCAGCCCAGGCCACGGCCACATGGGAGTGACGGGCAGCCTGTGGAGAAAAGACAAGGAGACAGAGATGGAGAGAGCAACAGATACTGACACACAGAGAGAGTCAAAGCAGAGAGATGCAAAGACTGAAGACAAAAAGATACGCAGAAAGAGAAAAGCAGACTGTCAGTCACGGTGCACACCTATAACACCAGCACTCAGAGGCAGGAGGATCAGAAGCTCAAGGCCAGCCTGGACTACACAGTGAATCCAAGACTAAATGGGCTACATGAGATCCTGTTTCAAGCAAACAAAAGAGAGAGAGGGAGAGAGGGAGAGAGAGAGAGAGAGAGAGAACAAGAAGCCAGGCATGGTGGCATATACCTATAATCCCAACACTTGGGAGGCTAAGCACAAAAGACTGCTGTGAATTCAAGGCCAGCCTGGGCTACAGAGTCAGTTGCAGGTGAGCCTGAGTCCTTACCTCAAAAAAAGGGGGGGGGGGAGAGAAAGGGGGGGGGGGAGAGAGAATACATGCACACACAAACATGAGATATGAATAAGAAAAACAGACGGTGACATAGAGAAACAGTGGAGAAACGACGGGGGAGAGAGAGAATACATGCACACACAAACATGAGATATGAATAAGAAAAACAGACGGTGACATAGAGAAACAGTGAGAGCAGGAGGAGCAGGAAGACAAAACTAGAAGTGAGACAGAGTGAAAAACAGTCCCAGAGCAATGGAGACCAACACAGAACAAAAGACCAAGAAGTCAAAGAGAAACAGGCAAACTGAAGGAGACCCGCAAACCGGGTGGGGTGGTGCTTATCTACAATTCCAGCATGGTGGGGGGATCAGAAGTTCAAGGCTAGCCTAGAGTAAGTGAGACCCTGTCTCAAAGAAATGAAAAGAAAGGAGGGAGGGGGAGTAGGAAAGAAAGAAGGACGAAGAGGAGGAGGGAGGGTGGAAGTGGGAAGGACAGGGAGGGGAGGGAAGGAGGGATGTAGGGAAAGACGGAGGGAGAGAGAGAATGATAGGATTTAGAAAGAGGAATAAAGGAGCAAAAAAGGAAACTTGTGCAAGTGAAGACAGATATGGGAAAAAGCAGGTCTCTAGATCTGGCTGTGGAGGCTGGGGGAGCAAGGGATAGGGGTCACTCAGGAGACCTGGCAGGGCAGGGGCTCATGAGGGCACAGACCCCAGGCAGGGTGGAGGACGGGTCCATACCGGAGCAGGACTCAGGTCCCAGGACTCCCAGGTGTTAGTGGAGAAGTTGTACAGGACAAGGTCACCCAAGGCCTTGTTAAGGTCCTGGCCTGTAAAGAGATGAGCACTGTCAAACCTTGGTCACAGCCCAAAGCCCTCCAGACCCTCCCACACCCCACCCATCTCACCTCCAAAAACAGCCAGCAGCCCCGGTGGGGAGAGGAAGGCACCAGCCGCCCCAATACGGGCAGAGAAGGCGGGGTCCCCGGCACTCACATTGTGCCACCAGCCAGCACCCTGGTTCTCCCACAAGTGCAGGTCACAGGCATGTCCCAAGAAACCGGGCTCACAGCGGCATGGTCCCAGAGCCTGGGAAGAAGGGGACAAAAAGGCAAGGAGAGAAAGAGACAAGATATATGGGTCAGGGGACACAGAGAGAAATAGAACCGAAACAGACAGGGTAGCAGATGAAGACCAAAAAGGAGAGAACGTTAAAGGAGACAGCCAGAAAGGAGACAGAGGGAGAGAAACACAGGACACAGAGGCACAGCCAGAGGCGGAGCAGAGCAGACAGAACACAAAGGACAAGACCCATGGAAAAGGCAAGGACAGACAGATGAAAGCACGTTAGTGAGATACACTAACAGTCAGATATGGGAGGTCAAGGTTGGAGGGGCATGGCTTGGCCAGAGTCCATCCCTTGACCATCCCTTGGTCAGGGATGAAAAGACAGAAGTCACAGCAGGGACCCAGGCATGGTGACATATGCATGTAGCCCCAGAACTCAGGAAGCTAAGGCAGGAGGATCTCAAGTTTGATGCTAGCCTAGGCTAATGAGTGGGTTCTAGGCTAGCCTAGAAAGTCATGGCAGGGGACACAAGGCCACACAAAATGGCTGAGCCCATCAGGAGGAAAACAGGCAGTGCTCCCACGTAAGGGTGGGATACAGATGAGGGCAGAGCCAAAGGGGAGGTCAGGAAGGGAGAGCTGCAGGTAGGGGTGGGGTGTGGCTGAAGTCACAGGTCAGAGTGAGACCTGGAAGGAGAGGGGGAGAGGGGGTGTCAGGAAGGAACAAGGTCCTATCTCAAAGTCAAAAGTGACAGATATGGTCACAGATCAGGGTCTCAGGAGGACTCAGTGGGGGACAGCTCACCGAGGCACAGGTGCCATGGCTGCCACAGTAAGCCGAACACTCCTGCAGGCTGCAATCTGGGCCTCCCCAGCCCGGCTCACAGACACACACTCCTGGTGGCTTGCACTGTCCGTGGCTCTGGCAGCCCCCAGAACACAGGGAGAAGCGGAAGGAGGCGTTGAAGCCCAGCAGGTTGTAGTTGGCATCACTGAAGAGGTGAAGCAGCATCTGCAGGCACAAGAGACCTGGACACAGTGGGCAGGGTGCACCTGGGCAGGGGCCCATCCCCGAGGGGCCCTTTGCCTTTCTTGGTCTCCTTTATTGTTGTGGTTCATATATTTTTCAGACAGAATCTCGCATAGCCTAGGCTGCTCCTCAGTCCTTGAGAATGACAAACTTCCGATTCTCCTGCCTTCACCTCCCAAGTAGTAATTCCAATTGGAATTACAAGTGTGTACCACCACACTGGGTTTTAAAAAAATATATTTTATTTACTATTTTTTTACGTGTATGAGTGTATTGCTTGCATGTGTACCGTGTCATGCAGTGCCCAAGGAGGACAGGAGAGGGCTTTGGATCCCCTGGAACTGCAGTTACAGATGGTTGTTAGCCGCCATGTGGGTGCTAGGAATCAAACCTGGGTCTTCTGCAAGAACAGCCAATGCTCTTAACTGTTGAACCATCTCTCCAGCCCCTACATTTGTTTTACATGGTGCTGGGAATCAAACCCAGCTCTTTGTGCATGCTAAGCAAACACTCTACCAACTAAGCCACATCCCCAGGTCCCCACTGCCTTTCTGTTCCTTTTGTATGTAAGACTGTCTTGATTGTTGTGGTTGTTGTTACTGTTTGAGACAGAATTTCACTATGTGGCCCAGGCTACTCTGAAACCGTCAGCAACCCTCCTGCCTCGGGTCTTGTCGTGTCCCGTCCCCCATACCCCACCGCCACCCCTCCACGCCCCCACCCCGAGTGCTGGGACTACAGGTGTGCACCTTCCGCTTTCCTCTGTGTCTTCCCTGGTGTCTTCTGAGTGGCTTTTTCTGTCCCTCTGATCTTTTTCATTTCTTCCTATGTCTGTCCCTCTCCCTCACACTCTTTCCATGGTACCAGAGCCCGTCACCACCAACCTTGCCTGAGGAAGCCTCAATGGGTGGGGGCCGGGTGCTCCCACTCAGACTGGCAAGTAGTGGGCTTCGGGGAGAGTCGCCATCATATACGAACAGGTAGTCATAAGTGCACTCTGTGTCCAGGAACAGGAAGTCCAGCAGGATTCGGTGCTGGGGGCTTGGGGCTGGAAAGTAAGCACAGAAGGCCAGGTTCTAGCATGAACCTCCTCCCAGAGCATCCACGCAGCCTTACCCACAGACACCACCACACCCGGCTCTGGGGGATGTGGGGGTTCCAAGGAGCTCCTGGTGTCACAGAGCTGAGACAGCTAGAGGGACAAGAGCCCAGAAAAGGAATCACAGTGTCAGCTCTGCTATGGAGCTGAACATCCACCGTGAATCCGATATGGAAATTCACAAACCCCTTCTCAGCAGTCAGAGAGCCACAGTGTTCCCAAAACAAGCCCAGCCCTAGCTGGGTATGCCACACTATACACAGCTCCCACTTCAAGAGAAGAGTCCTGTTCCCTCCTCAAGAACAAAGCACTAATCTTAGGCCAGCCCAGACCCTCCCGCCTCTGTTCACTTCTACAGGCACAGACTAGAGCTAGACTGCCAGGCCTCAAATCTAGGCTTTGCCCATGAAAAGCTACTAGCTGTGTGACCTTGGACAAGTCATCTACACTCTCTGGCTCAGTTTTTGAATGGTACTGGGTTGGAACCAAGATTTTTGGCCAGGGTTAGGGATACAGCTCAGTGGTAGAGCACTTGGCTAGCATGTGTAAGGCCCAGATTCCATTCCTCTTTTCAGAGACAAAAATCTCACGTATTCCAGGTCCCTTCTCTTTCCTCGTGTCCCCTATCTCCTAACTAGTGATCTTGCTCAGTAATTGCTGGATGACTAAAAGGATGCAGAAAAGAATAAAGAGATGGACAGTAGGCACCACACTGTAATCCCAGCACTTGGGAGGTAGAGGCAGAAGAGTCAGGAGTTTCAGGTCATCGTTGGCTATGTAGAATGTTCTAGGCCAGTGTGGGCTACGTGAGATTCTGTCCCAAAACATCAAAAAGCCAAAACAAAACCAAGAAAGGCAAGATGGCCAGTCTCTCTCAGGCTCTAACTAGAGCCCCAGGTTACCACATACAGATTCCCACCTGTGGTCTGGCGACTGTAGAAGAACCATTCAAGCCGGGCGTGGTGGTGCATGCTTTTAATCCCAGCACTCGGGAGGCAGAAGCAGGCGGAGCTCTGTGAGTTCAAGGCCAGCCTGGTCTACATAGTGAGTTCCAGGACAGCCGGAGCTACAGGGAGACCCTGTCTCAAAAAGACCAAAAAAAAAAAAACAACTATTCAACAGAACCAAGAATCCAGACCTCCCAGATCTCATCAGCCTCCACCAAACACACAGCTCCATTCCTAGACTCAGAACAAGAGCATCTCTCTCAAGAGCATTTGGAGGCTGGTTCACCACCTGCCTTCCTCCTGAAGCTCAGGTCTCCAGTTTCCATCCCACACTTCTGATCCCAAACTACCTGCCCTGGTCAGAAGCAGGACACCCTTGCTCTTGAAGATGTTGGGAGGTCTAGCACCAGATAAAATATGACCATGGAAGGGCTGGAGAGATGGCTCAGCGGTTAAGAGCACTGACTGCTCTTGCAGAGGACCCGGGTTCGATTCCCAGCACCCACATGGCGGCTATGAACCATCCTTAACTCTTCTGAACTCCGTGGCATTGCACAACATGGGTGCACCCACATACATGCAGGCCATACACTTGTACACATAAAATAAAAATAAATAATCTTTTTTAAATGACCATGGAATAAAAGTCAGCCAGGCATTTGGCACACTCCTATAATCTTGGCACTAGGGAGGCTGAGGCAGGAGAATCATGAGTTCAAAGCTAGCTTGGACCACACAAAATAGCAAAAGCAACCAACCCACTTAGACTTCTGGTTTATTTTGAGCCAGGGTCTGCTATATAGCTCAGGTTAACCTCTAACTTCAGACTCCCCTGTGTCAGCCTCCTGACTGCTGGGATTATAAGCTTGTACCAACACGCCTTGCTAATTTGTTGGTTCTTAGAGGTATTGGAAAGGATGGGATCAAGGGAGGTCTACAGAGCTCCCAGATACCTCCTGCAGCCCACATTCAGTCAGTTGGTTCTCATCTCATTGGGAAAAATCCACAAACATGTCCCTGCAGGGTTCATGCCTCTTGACCCCCTTAGCCTCCACCCCAGTTCAAAACTCGAATGTCTCCTTTGAGACCAGCATACCAAGCCTCCAGTCTGTCACCCCCAATCCTCCTGGCCTGCCCTACTCTCTAAACCATTCAGTAGCTCCCCAGCACCCCCAAGGGAAAGGGCCAAACTACCAAAGTGACATTCCAGGCCCAGCTTCTGGCTACCTCTCATGTCCCAGTCAGTCCACTGTGCAGACAGACTAGACAAACCTAGATGTGGGTCCTAAACCAACCTCCCTCACGCCTTCACAGAGGCTGGTTCCCTTTATATCCCAATTAACTCCTATGTGTGTTTCAGAACACTGCTTCAGTGGCTCATCCTCTGGGCCTTCCAGCGGAATCCTGCCCCCATCCCCTAGCCTCCCAGCAGCCAATATACCTCCCCCTGCCTCAGCCCTGAACACTGTCTCATTGAGCATATTAGGGGGTGAACGTCATGTCCCAGCCCTCCACGCTCAACTAGTCCCAAGCTGGGACTCTTCAAGACTAGAGAATATGGAGCTGGAGAGATGGTTCAGCAGTTAAGAGCACTGGCTGCTCTTGCAGTGGATCCAGGTTCAACTCCCAGCACCTACACAGCAGCTAACAACCATCTATAACTCCAGTTCCAGGGAATCCGATGCCCTCTTCTGACCTCCACAGGCACTGCATAACATGGGTATGCTTGCATACATGTAGGCCTAACATTCACACATATAAACATTAAAAAATCAAAAAAAGACCAGAGAATGATTCATACTCCCCCAGACCCCCTAGCCACCCCACCCGCCCATTTCCCATAGTGATCTTATCCTAAAGCCAGACAGGCCTCCCGGGACAGGGTTTAAACCATGTCTTCATCCTTACCCAAGAAAGCAACCAGAGCTTTTCTAAAACAAAAATCATATCCTGCCCTTCCTCTGCTCAAAAACTTTCTGTGGCTCCCAAGGACCTCAGATAAAGAGCAAGTTCTATAGTCTCTAACAACAGGCTTTGCATGATGGAGAACCTATCGACTCTCTGACTTTTGTGGGTGGGATGGCCTCCTACCTGTCCCTGGAGGCCACCTTCCACATCCAATGCTCATGAAGCCTCCTTAGACTTTTCCAGCCACTGTCCTGGACCTCTTTTCTCTTTCCCTATGGCCCATAATTCTAAAAATCCTGTATCCCCTGGTACCTCCCAACCCCACTGACTCTAGTTCACTAGTATCTGCTTGTCTTTTTTTTTCTTTTTCTTTTTTTGTCTTTTTGAGACAGCGTCTCCCTGTAGCTCTGGCTGTCCTGGAACTCACTATTGTAGACCAGGATGGCCTTGAACTCACAGAGATCCACCTGCCTCTGCCTCCCAAATGCTGGGACTACAGGCGTGCGCCACCACGCCTAGCTTAATTTTAATTTTTTAAATACAGCATCTCCATCGCCAGCACCAGGGAGGCTGAGACAGGACTGGCACAAGTTTGAGATCCACCTAACTCAGTGAGATACTGTCAAAAAAATATATATATATATCCACAGGGCTGGGGAGATGGCTCACAAGATACAGTACATAAGCATGAGGACCAGAGTTCAGATTCTCCAGAGTCTGCATGCAACCTGTAGCTGCAACCGTAGCACATCCACAGTGAGACGGGGGCTAGAAATGGGAATCCCCAGAAATTCGTGGGCCCCTGAACAAGAGATCCTGCCTCACACAAAGTGGAACGCAAGGACAGATACCTGAGGTTGGCCTCTGACCTCTATAAGTGTGCTGTGATGCATGGGGATTTGCACTCCCACACAGACACACACAGAAGCAGAGGAGGAAGAGGAACCAATGACAGGGTCTCAGGCTAGGCTTGTAACTCAGTTGGTGGAGTGCTTGCTCGGCATGCATGAAGCCCTGGGTTTGAACTAGAGAACCATGTAAACCAAGCATGGTGGCTCACGCCTGTAATTCCAGCATATGAGAGATGGAGGAAGGAAGATCAGGAGTTCAAGGCCAGCCTCAGCTACATATCTAGTTCAAGGCCACCTGGGATACATTAAGTTCTGCCTTTAAAATAAAAAAAGACAGTAGACTAGAGAGCTCAGTGGTTAAGAGCACTTTATTGCTCTTCCAAAGGACCCAAGCTCAGTTCCTAGCACCCACATGGCAGCTAACAACCTTCTGGAGCTCCAGTTTCAGGGAATCCAAAGCCCTCTTCTGGCCTCCATGGGCACTGCATGCACAGGTATGCTTACATACATGCAAGCAAAACACAAAATAAAAATAAATTAAAAACAATAAAGACAGAAGGCTGGTGAGATGGCTCAGTGGTTAAGAGGGCATAGCATACTGCTCTTCCAGAGGACCTTAGTTTGATTCTCAGCATCCACATCAGGTGGCTCATAGCAACCTGTAACTCCAGCACTGTTCTCTCTCTCTCTCTCTCTCTCTCTCTCTCTCTCTCTCTCTCTCTCTCACACACACACACACAGTTAAAATATAATCAAATAAAGGGGCTGGAGAGATGGCTCAGCGGTCAAGAGCACTGACTATTCTTGCAAAGGACCTGGGTTCAATTCCTAGCACCCACACGGTGGCTATGAACAGTCCTTAACTCCAGTTCCAGGGGAATCCAAAGGCCTCTTCTGACCTCCGCAGCACTGCACGACACGGGTGCACTCACATACATGCAGGCAATACACATAAAATAAATGTAATAAATAAAACATTTTTTAATTATTTTTTGTGACAGAGTATCACACTATAGCCCAGGCTGACCTTGAACTCAGAGCAATCCTTGCTTCTGCCTCTTGAGTTATTATTATTATTATTATTATTTTGGTTTTTTTTTTTTGGTCTTTTTGAGACAGGGTCTCCCTGTAGCCCCAGCTGGCCTAGAACTCCCTATGTAAACCAAGTTGGTTTCAAAATCACAGAGATTCACCTGCCTCTGCTTCCCAAGAGCTAGGATTAAAGGCCTGTGCCACTATGCCCGCTGTCCTGGAACTCACTATGTAGACCAGGCTGGCCTTGAGCTCACAGAGATCCTCCTGTCTCTGCCTCCCCAGTGCTGGGATTAAAGGCGTGTGCCACCACGTCTGGCTAAACAAATATTTTTAAAAGACAGTCTCAATCTGTAGCCCAGGCTGGCCTCAAACCTACAATCCTGCCTCTGCCACCACTCCTGGCTTCTTCTATCCTGTTTTAGTACAGGATACTTCCACTAGCTCAAAAGCATCCCACACTCCTGCTCCCTTCCACTCAGGACCCTCAGACCCCGGAGCCACGTCATATGTCTTCTCTGGGCTTCTTCACTCCCTTGAAGCCCATAGCCAGGGCTGGGGCTTTTGCACAGGCTAGTCCCTCTTTCTGGAATGTTCTTCCTCCCACTTCCTGGCTTCCTTGCATCGGTGCCTTAGGTCTCAACACTGACATCCCTTCCAGAAAGTTTCCCTGTTCTGCTCAGTCCCCCTCAAGTACTTCCTCTGGGTTCTCCCCAGGGAGCACTCTGGGCTGTCACTGTTAATGTGTTTGTCTCCCCCACTAGATTCCCAGGGGTTTCTGGGAAAGGTGATCCTTGGTCTTCTGCTATGCATGGTGGCATATATAATTTCTGGCACATGAATGACTGAAAAGATGCTTTTATTGAAGCACTTTAAACACAACAGTAATAACCCTAATGGCATTTAGTGAACATTTACTATGTACTACACATCAGGCATGTTCAATATCTGGTCTCCTTTCATTTCAAATAGGAGGTAAGTAGTACTCTTATCTCCCTAAGGGAAATTGAGTCTTAGAGAAGGAAATTCACCGGCCAGGGGTCACAAAACTCACAGGCAGCCCCGCCTAGGTTCTAAGCCAGGTGGTTGGACTCAGAGCCCAAGTCCTTCAACAGTTACTCAGAATACCCCTTGCTGATACTTGTAGTTTGTAACTGTCAATCTGTCATCTCTCCCATCAGACTTCCTGCCCTCCCAGGGCAGTGCCCAGGCTGGTCGCAACCCTGGGTGTGCAATACTTTAGAGCCGAAATCCTGGCCTGGAACAGGGCTCTGGGAAAGTGCTGAGTGCATGAATGCATAAATGAATGAACTGGCGAACGAGTGAGTGACCCACACGGCCCCACTCACCCTCGATAAGCCACTCGCAGTTGCCATTGACGCTGTAGTTGCCCGCACCGTCCGTCACGAAGCCTGGCGCCTCCCGCAGTACCTGCCGCTGCCCCTTGCAGTCCCCCGCCAGGACGCTGAGGGACAGCAGCCCCAGCCCCGCCAAGGCCAGTGCCAGGGCCGCGGCCAGAGGCTGGCCCGAGGCCATCGCAGCCTCTCGCACTGACCCTACCAGACGGAAACGGCCGGGAAGACCCGGAGTGGGGCCCTGCAAATGCGACCTCTATAGGTGCAGCATGGCCTGGTGGACCCGGGAGGTGCCAGCAGCGCAGTCCCGGCCGAGGAGCCGGCGGCCGGGGATGGGTTCTGCAAGCAGAGGGTCCGGCCCTGAAGACCCGGGGAAGGCCCTGGACGTAAGGATGGGACCGACCCCTAGGGACCGTGGGGGTCCCCTATAGACGCGGGTCCCCATAGGGGGGCAGACCCATAGACGGTGTCCAGCAATTCGAGTCGGGCCGCCGCAGGCCGAAACAGACCTTATACACGGATGAGTCCCCAGGGCGGAGGACCCGCCATAGAGGGTGCGGGCCGGCCAGCCAGGCCCGGATACTCCCGGGGCGACCCCTCCAGCCGGGGGCGGGGCGCGAGAGGGTAGCGGGGGCGGAGCCGGTCTTCGGGGTCTAGGGCACGGATCCCAACCCCTTTCCGAGCCTCCTTCCCAAGCCGGATGGGCCAGATCAGAGAGACTAAGGGACTCCCGGGCCAGAGCGGCCCGGGGTGGTGGGGGGCTGGCTGGGAGGGGGGAACCCGCTGGGAGGGGGAAGGAGGGGCCGCGCAACCTCCGAAGGAGGGCGGACAGAGAGGAGGCGAGAGAGGGCGGAGCGCCGGGTCAGAGCAGCCCTGGGACGACTGCGGAGCGCCCAACCCCACCCCTTCTCGGAGGAAGACTTCCGGAAACTGTCCCCGCCCATCGGTTCCCAGCCGCATGCGCCGCAGGGGACGGCTAAGCCTGCGCAGAGAATCGCGCATGCGCAGTACGAACACCGTAACCCGAGGTCTAGGTAAAGCCTGTGGCAGTCGGTGGTTGAGCCAAGCGTGTACCACTGGAGGGCAACTCTGTCTCTGATAGGGAAAGGGAAGGCAAAAATAAAGGAGCGGGGCAATAGCTCTGTTTAGTGGTCCAGATCCTGGGTCAGCACAAACATCAGGTTGTGCAGGCTTTTGCCTCCAGACCCCAAAATGCCATTTCACGGATGGACACGCTGAGGCCGCGAACGGTTCTCGCTTAAAAAAAGAGCCGGGCGCGGTGGCGCACGCCTGTAGTCCCAGCACTTGGGAGGCAGAGGCAGGCGGATCTCTGTGAGTTCAAGGCCAGCCTGGTCTACATAGTGAGTTCCAGGACAGCTGGGGGTACAGGGGGACCCTGCTTCAAAAAAAAAAAAAAAAAAAAAAAAAAAGGCATGTTATAGATAAAACCTCAACGAATCTTCTTTATTTTGGCAAGAAGAGAAAACGTCTTTCTGCCAGGGACTCGAGGGAAGGCCCCTGGGGTGCAGATAGGGTCGGACAGAGCGCGGGTCCGAGGTCACTGATTCGAGGGAGGGGTTCACAGTCAAGACCACCTTCCCAATATCCGTCCCGGGAACAGTAGCGCGAGGGTCGCGGAGTCCTGGAGAGTCACAGGCAGGGTCCCGGCGGGCGTCACGGGTGCTCCGGAGTCCAGCAGGGTCAGAGGTCTCGGAGGGGATCAGGGGGGCGGAGATCGCGGAACAGCGGGAGCCCAGATTCCGGCGCCGTTCGGGGCAGGGGCTGAGGGAGGGGACGGGGAGAGCGGCTCCCGCGGGACCGTTTGGCACTGAGGGAAGGGGGCCGGACGCAGCGCACCCCACCTGGGCACGGGGGCTGGAGGGCGGGGGTGCCTGGCACGGCCGAGCCCTGGGGCCGGGACAGAGTGGGATTCCGGGGCCTGGTGCGCCGGGACGGGGGACGGGCAGGGATGCTCAGACCGGGGGTGTAGGGCCCCCGGCCGTGTGCATGCTGAAGTACTCGGTGAAGCCGGGATGCGGCGCCGCCGTCTGGGGCATGAGCGGCTGGTAGGGCGGCGTCGGGCCATCCCAGCCCGGGTCGACCACCTTGGGGAACCGAGCGGGAGGGGGCGGGGAGGCTGCGCCCGGCTCGGCCATGGTCACCACGCGGCCCCTCGGGGCCACCGCTGCCGCCACCGCTGTCTCCTCCACCTGCTTCCCGGCCTGGGAGGGGGGTCAGGGTCAGAGGCCGTCCGGAACCCTCGGGGGAGCAGATGCGGCCCCGAAGGCCCGTCCCCCTCCCCCTGGAAGACCCCCACCACCCCAAGGCTGGACGCACGTGTCAATCGGGGAAGGAGTGGGCAGCGGGGCGCCTGGGCAGCGGGGCCAAGTACTCTAGGGGAGGCGTCGGGGTGCGCTGGGCAAACTCAGGCGGCGGCGGCGGCGGCGGGGGACCTGAGGGCCAGCCGCAGAAGGCGGGCGGTGGGGGCACAGCGCGGGGTGTCCGCGGGGGCGTGCGCAGGAGCGCCAGGACCCAGTCCGGCAGAGTGGGCGCGGGCGCCGGGGGCTGGTCGCGGCGGGGCGTGGGGACGCGGGGCGTGCGGAAGGGAAGGGG